AAGACAGTTTTACCTTCTGCTTGCTCCACGCTGCCAAGCTGCTGTTCTTTTACAATGCTTAGCTCGAGTGGTCCCTGCTTCCTTTCCTTGACCATTCCTGAAGGATCCTGCATATACTCCTGCTTTTGTTAGCAGGCCAACCTACAGCCTGGGCTCCTCCGCCCAAAGCAAATGCCAAAATATCCACCCCCTTCTCCTGAGCAGTGGGGGATGGAGCCTCAGCAGTTGACCAGAGCACACACCTGCTCACCGCCCTTACAGGAAACTGGCTCAGCTGCACTCACCCCCGGCCCACAACTCGACCTTATTTCAAATAAAAATGCATCCTGATTTCCGATCCAGCAGGAGCAATCTCGACTCTTCCCAACATGGACAATCCCATGGCCAGCAGAATTCCTGCCCTCCTACGTCATCTGCACCAGCAGCCTTTTAAAAAAGGGACAACTTTATCTGAAAGCGATTAACTGCAGAGGCAGTGGCAGAGAAATGCTGTCACAGCAGGTGCCAGACGATCGTTCAGTTCTTCACAAGAGAGAGAAACCTCTTAACTTCTTGTTGTACACAGTGTAGTGTGGACAGGAATCTGTGCCTTGCCCTGCAGCTCCTTTCACAAGTATCCCCACTGTTCTGCTTCCCCAGGGACCTTTCCCAGGAGATTAAGACCACTCAGCTTTAGATCAGTCAGCGATAAGGATTATAGAGTCAAATGCTATTAAAAAAAGGTGGCAGCGAGCTAATGCTCACAGCTTTTTCTACCAGTTCAGCTCAAGTGACATTTAAATACCCCTTGAATGCAATCTCATAGTTTAACTTTCACGGAGATCAGAGGGGTTTATTTTAATTGTGAGATAATAAGGGTTAAAGGACATATGGGATATCTGTGCTCATCCTAGAGGAGACACACTCTGAATCCGGACAGGACAAGAATCACGAGGTAAAAGGACTTGCCAAAAATTGTTCATCTAGCAGAACTGGTGGAGGAGAACTCAGTTATTAATATATTATTAATATATGCTACTATAATTAGCAGCTGGATCCTTAGAATGAAGAATGAAAAATAAATTCCTCCTGGGAATTAAGCAGGAAATAGAAATGTTTGCCAGATACATTTACCTGGCACATCAGTGAAATTCCTTCATCTGAAAAAAATTTCTAGGGGACAATTTAGAGGGCAAGAAGGCACAGGCTGAGCAAACCTGCCAGCCCCAAAGCTCCCAGAAAACAAGCCCACCTCGCTCCTATTCTGGATTTATCATGGAATCACAGAATGGTTTGGGTTGGAAGAGACCGTAAAGCTCATCTTGTTCCACCCCCTGCCACAGGCAGGGATACCTTCAACTAGCTCAGGTTGCTCCAAGTCCTTGTCCAACCTGGCCTTGAACACTTCAGGGATGGTGCAGTTATGTGAGAAACTGGTTAGAATACATTAAAATAAGGAAAAGAGAGATGAGTTTCCTGTCTGTAAGAGTGTGCCTGACGGCAAGTGCTGGAACCACCTTGCTGGAACCTTCCTGAGGAACAGGAAGAACACATGCAATTGCAGAATTCAGTTGTATAAACACAGTGGCTGGGGAGAAAAAACTGAGCAAGGTCAAATTAAAATCCTAATTCTTACCAAACCAGGAGAGATTTCAAATTCAAGAGTCCTTTTAAACTGGTCACACAACTGAGAGCACAGATTTGCCTTTCAGAAGTTCTCAGGCAAAGTGTGTCTCACCCCAGTGCCAGCCGTGGCTGCTTGGTCACCCTTCCAGCTGTTCTGGGAACCAAAGCTTCCACAGAGTATGAAAAGGGTCAGCCAAATCCCCCAGACCTTCCTTTCAGCACAGATATCTCATGGCACGAGTGACATTTCAGCGTGGCAGGATGCCCTGCAGCCCCTTTCCACACCAGGGGACACAGCTCTGAGCAACCCAGACCTGCGACACCAGGGCTCTCGGGAGAAGCCGTGACCAGAGCCTAGCACTGAACCTGACAGGCAAGAGTCCAGATGAACTTTGGGAAAGAGTTTCTGGTGGCACTAGAGGCCGCTGTCACCCTGGATGAAGGCAGATAATCCAGCTATGGGCTTCAACCAACAGGTCCCCCCCCATTCCCCACCACCTGGTCACAGCCAATGGAAACCATAAGGCTGCTAGTCCTGCACAGGGTCTGTGTGGGACATTGCAGGCACAACATCCCCATGGCTGAAACCCACCCTGTTTGAGTTCAGCTGGACAAACACATTTTCAGTGGGAGACAATCTGAACCTAGCAGGGGATCATCTGAACAGCCAGACAGCCCCATTCATCAGCAGCTCCAAAATTCCGAGCAAAATGGTAGAAGTACAAACCAGCACAAGCCCTGCCTTGTGGGAGATGGCACGTTTCCAGGCTCCCAGCATCAGCACACTGCAGTGCCACAGCAGAGTGCTGGGAGGCTGGACATGGATACATGGAACACACATGGCAGCAGCTGGGCTGAATGTCCAGGACATCTGGCCCAACACCAGCACTGACCTGCCATGGTCTGGCCAGGCACCCACATGGCACCACACACCTCCAACTGATCCCTCCTCTGCTGCCCCTCTGCTGTTTGTTTTCCTCCCCTTTGTAATTTACACTATTTTCCAGCTACCAGAATGTTTCCTGAACAATTCAGCTGGAAAACAAGGAACAAGTGAACCACTATGGGTCAAATGCTACAGTGGGGCAGGGTGAGGCTTGTTGGCCACCACAGGATGCAAACCAGCACTCCAGAGCTCTCCACCAGTCATCCCTCCTCAACCCTAAGCAGCCTCTTCTACTTTAACCTTTTGGCTTCACACAGATAATTTTAAGGCCACACGTTCGGAGACATCCCCGTGATCTAATATTAGATGATCAGCTTGTTTATGTTTTTGTTGCTAAGAGCAAGCTGGAGCTTTGGAAACATGAAAGCAGCCCAAACACTTCTGCGACAGCTGCCACTGGGAACTGAAATCCATGCAGCACTGCCCTGACAACTGTTTTGCATTCGTCTTTTTATTTTATTTTACTGGAATTGGTCTCCTTCCCAAATAAGCTTTTCCGATTTTGGTGACCTCTCCTGTCTCTCTGGGTCTGTGTTTCCAAGTTCCAGCGTGCAGGCAGCTCCCAGTCACTGTATCCTGCTGTGAGGATGTACATCCATCAGTAAGGTTTCCTCCCACTAGAGCACAATGCATCATTGCTGGGCTTTTTTCCTCTCAGTAGTTTCAAAGCATCATTAAAGGTGGGAGGAATTTTCTCGTGGTTTCTCTTTACATTACCATAAATCACAGGAGATTGTTCTCTAATAAAAATGCAGGAGACAAACAGATCTTCTGTATTATTTATAGAAACAGATTTGGCAATAAATGCCAATGCAGTAATATTAAAGGATGCTTTTTTGGGCATCTACAAGTAACTATTCCAGTCTAGTTCCCTGTCTGCAGGCAGTGCCAAAAGTCTGGGAGGGGGTTTGTGCAGCCCACTTCTCCAAGGAAAACTCTGCTTCCACAACTTGATTCAAGGTTTGCCAAAATTCAGAGACTGTTATGAAAGGTCTGAAGTGTGAACTGAAAGCACAATACTCACTCTGTCCTCTTGCACAACCTCACTGGGCACTGGCATTATCTTATGGCAGCTCATCTCGATTCAATAGCAAAGGACCCCAAGCCAAGTGACCTCCAGCAAAGTAACAGCAGCACACAGAGGCACTCCCAGGGTTAACCCCAGTGTTCCCACACCAAAAATACTCTGCAGTAGCTCCTACAAACTGGCACTGCACACAGAGCTGATGAATGTGGTTCATCCAGAATGCCTGTCATACCTTCCAAACACTCCCTGTGCTAGCTCTAGAATGAAAAAAAAGCCCAAACAGCATTAAAAGTTTGAGTATTTTCCAGCAGCACAGCCCACCTTGCTTGGGTGTGCTGCAGGTGAAGCAGAGCAGCCCACCCTCTGTGGGACACTGCAGCTCAGCCCCACCACCTTCAGCTTTCTAGGCCGATAATTCTCATTATTGCTCTTCCCATCCCTTGGCCTCAGGCCATTTAAAATGTGTCAGAGCGCTATCTCCACTCAGGAAGGGCTGCATTTCAATAAATCACTATTTTAGTCTTGAAGAATATAATCACTATACACTCTGCATGAACTGGTTGCTGATGAGAAACACACAGTTCATCACTGCATTTTATTTATTACCATTTGCTTTCGTCGATGCCATGAGGAGAGACAGATTTTGGAAAAGTTATCCTGCTTGCAGGAAGAAACACAGATCATTTGATATTCTGTACTTAATGCACAGGATAAAGTTCCTTTGAAAAGAGCTCTGGCTCCCCAGGTTTGCATTTCCCCAGTCTTAAAATAACATCATGTGATAAGAAAGAGATACCACCAGCTAGATCCAGAGTCATTCCCAAGGCTGCTACTGCTGGAATGGCCTCGGTTGCACGTGGCAGACTCCTACCTCTGGCCTTTACAGTCAATCAAAGCGGTGCCTGTTGCTGAAGTCCATCTCCTCCTGTGTCACACACCTACACAAGCCAGGGAGGTTTGTTTTCCCCACTAACTGCAGAGGGAATCTGGGGGTCCTGTGCAGTGCAGATGTCTCCATCAGGGCATAAGCAAACCCAGCTGAGCAGAATCAGAGGGACAGATATTATCTGAATGAGTCTCAGTCCAACACTCTTTTTAGGATGGGATTAATTTTACAGAACCTACTGTGAATGGCTGCTCTGCTGCCTGTCCCTGAATACCCACAGACTGGAGGGGTTGAGATTAGGAGCTGAGATTAGTACTGAAGACAAATGCTCAGATGCTGAAGAGACAAGTAGAAAATTACAAGACTAAATTTAACCGACAAGCCAGAGATCACTCAGTTCAACACCTTCAGACAGAGCAGGGGCAGCAGCCTGGAAATTCCACGGAGCACCTAAAAATCAGTCCCTACACCCCCACCATCACCACCACGTGAGAGCTGCCCACGGAGCAGACCATCAGAGCCCACTGCTCACTGACCTTCTGCGCTCTCTGGCCTCCTCAGCCGAGAGGTCCTTCCCCGGGGCGGAGGCAGCCCCGGCGTTCGCGGTGCCGTTGGCAGCGCCGAGCACAGCCCGGTTTGTGATTACACCTAGAGGGGTAACACAGCTGCCCTCTGGGCTTTTCTCTACAGCAGAATCAGTTTGTTGCCTGAAAGGGGCTCTGAAATAGAGAAGACATATGGAAAGCAAAGCAAGTGAACTCAAGTGCTGACCAAGCCCAGTCTCCTCGAGGGAGCGCGGACAGATCATCCTCCTCACTCTGCACTCGTGTGTTCATGGAGAACAGCCACAGTAAAATGAGTTTTACAAAACTTGGAGAAGAATAAGCAGGAGGAACTAATAGTCTTCACATCCCTGTTTGTAGCAAAAATGATTAGAAAAATGTACCTGGGGAATAAGCAGAAGGAAGGAACTCCAAGAACTTGTACACCGAGCGCCCGAGGGCGGCCTGAGCACGGGCTGAGTCAAGGGACAAGAGGGACCACTCCAGGGAGCTACAGTCACAGCCCGGCTGTTCCCAGCCTGCCAGCGCATACCCACTGCTGGAACTGCCCAACATCACCATTTTGGGACTGCTTATCATTCTGGGATTGCTTATCGGCACTTCCCAGGCAGAAGCACACCTCCGATGCACGCTCCACTCCAGAACTCAGACCTTCCAACCCAAATGCTGACTTGCGGCAGCGCTCTCTCCGCCGGGAGCTGTTACCTGGTGTAGTGGCGGGCTGATGCAGGAGTGTTCACACCGAGAGATGTGGGACAGGAAGAGACAGGTTGCCACGGGGAGCCCGGGGAGGTAGATGAGCCAATGGCAGTGGGTGAGGTAGCTAGAGATGGACTGCGACTGGCTGAAATGTAGGGACTGCCCAGGTCACTACTTCTACCAAATGAAGCACTGTAAAACATCACAAAATCACGTCCTTCAGAGCACAGTAAACATTCAACAGTACATCCCACAGCTGGGCTCACAGCTGGGGAGGGAGCAGGTACCACATCGTAGCAAGGAGATCAGAGGCCGTCAGAGCTGCCACAGGTCGCCCACACGTGCCAGCGCCAGCAGAGCCCTGCTTAGCTAAGCCCAGCTCAGTTTCAGTGAGAGAATAACGGCATGGGGGTGAATCAGGGAGGATCAGGGAAGGGAAAAGCCCTGCTGCAGTGAAAGCAGGGAGCACAGGGAGCACCCCTGTGCACTGGGGAAAGGTGGGAACAAGGAGCAAGGATGAGGACGCTTAAAGCAGGGAAGGAGAGAGTTACATAAGCGGGTCTGGCTGCATCCCACCCTAAGGATGTCCAGGACTTCCAGTTTTAAGAACTTGTTTGCAGTGGCTTAAAGCTTTGGCAAAGATGATCAGTTTGGGCTTCAATTTTCTTTAAGGCATGTTTGGCACAAACTCTGTATTTCTGGAAAACAGCTATCACAACTGCCCAAAAATATTCAAGAATGAGCAAGGGAAATACATATTTTGCCAGTTTAAAACAAACCCTGAAAACCAACCTCATGGAAAATCTGCAAGTGTTTAAATGCTCATACTTTGGAGAAGAGACAGGAGGAAAGGAGAAGAGCTCTGATATGAGGATGGACCGTTTTGCTTTTTCAAAGAAAATCCAGCCTAACTGGGAGATAAAATCCACCCTAATGGGAAAGAAAATCCACTCTAGAGGGAGAAGTTGCATATCTCTGAAAACAGACTTGATGAAATCTGGTAAAATCTCCTTCTTGCACGTGCCAGAGCCCTGCATGCAGGCTGCTCACTGCCTGCACACAGAAACCCAGCAGGATCCAGGGCCCTGCCACACCTTTCCCAGCAGCCAGAATCCGTGGTTGCTACTGGTCAGACTGGGCTGTCCACAGGATCAAAGGCCAGGAAGGCTGGAAGGCTGGCTTGGACCTCCTGCAGCCTAAGGACTCCCATAGCACGGCACAGGGAGGAAAGAGGTTGCACCAGAAATAAAAGCTGACCTAGAGGAAAGCAGCAGGCTAGGACAGAGCTGCAGTTTTTTGGGAAGGCCAGGGACAATGGAGTGAAACTGGAAGTCAACTCTGGAGTAAGAGTCAGAGAGAGCAGCCCTAGGCTGAAATAACACTGGGAAGGGGCAGGATCATAGCCAAGGACAGAAGGCTGGAGGAAGGACCCAGACCAGTTCACTCAGGAACCCAATTTACAAACCAGTTTTACATGCCAAGGCCCCCAGCCAGCCCAGTACAAGCAGCTGGTCCCACGGGAGCCAAAGGGGACAATGGGCCATCTTGGAAGGCCTCCATGGGGAGGAACCTCCCGTTTGGGTCCCTCAGTTGATGGCTGCCTGCCATATCCAGGTCACACAGGAACAAGCGAGTTATTGTCATGAGGTAGCAACCTCCACCCGACCCTAAACAAAGCTTCCTCTGGAATGCTGGCCCCTGCCTGGAGCACAGGGGAGCAGGAAGTCCTGTTGGAAGCAAGTGCCTCCCTTCTTGGCTCTCTGCTACTGAGCCCTGGAGATGGGCTGGGTGGAGGGTGGGAGCAGAGAGAGAAGCCTGGCTGGGTGGATGTGCAGAGCAAGGAGCCGTGGAGTCACATAAATGAGGGTTCTGAGGAGATGATGGCAGGGGAGAATGTGCCAGGGGAAGGAACGAGAGGATGGGCAGGGGAAAAGGTGGTGGCAACCCTGGGGGCAGCAGGGTTGATGTGACACCATCTTGGGAGAGCCCAAGGCAGAGGCTGGGGCACGAGGGTGGCTGCAAGAGAGAGCAGGAACTTGGTGAGGGAGGGAGGACGCAGAAGGGTTATCAAGTAAGCCCTGGCAAGGATTGTCTTCCAATCCAAACCTTCCCCAAGAAGGGAAAGGTAATGGGTGAGGAGTATGGAAGCAGCACCAGGTGCCTGGAAGAGCAGAGATGTGGAGGATGAGAGGGGAAGGAGGAGGAGGAATGCAGGAAAAGGGCCTGGCGGTGGTGTTGTGCCAGCTCCAACACGCACATGGCCAGAAAAACGTGGTGCTGGGGCATCAGGCACACACTGCTGCTCCCAGGGGAGCCATGGCACTGCCAGCTCCATGGGAATCCACCTCCCAGCCTGGCCCTGTGCATGGGTGGCACTCCACAGCGTGAGGAGCACTCCAAGGCATTTCCTCCATTGTTCGCATTCGATCTGAACAGGACCAGAAAACTGCAATAAAAAGGTTAGCCAGGAAATCCTATTAATTAACAGCTGTGTCCATAGGAATCTGTGAAAGGGAGGATTATGAATTTATTTAGAAATAGAAAAAGGCACTGACACACTGCTCTTCGTTCTCTAACATTATCACCACAACAGAACCATCCGGGAACGAGCAATGAAATGCAAAGCAACATTTCAAAGCAATAAAAAGAAATACTTCTGAGAACAGCTAAGGCGTTAAAAACCTTAACTTAAAAACCTTCAAACCCTTAAAAAGCTTCCACATGTGCTAATAAAAGTGGTTTGTACAAAGCACATAACTACTTTTTTTTAAACACACTGCCATGGGGTATTGCAGAGATCAAACTAGGCTCTGGGTATGGATGTTGGCCACTGTGGTGGCCATTAAGAACAATGGTTAAGTGTAACCCCTGGCTCCTAAATTCCTGATTGCTGGAAGCAAGGAGAACGTGGGAGGTGGAAGATTGCTCTGAAGCTTTCCTGGCTTCTGCAACTTGTCCTTCAAAACCAGCTGGTGTCAGAAACAGAGTCTGGGCTGCAGGGACTGTTGGCCTGACTTGCTGTGATGGTTTTTACGTGAACAGAACCAGTAAGGAGACATTTGCATAAAAGTGAAATGAAGGAGAAACTAACTGTGTGGATAAAGGATTTCGTTCTGGTGTGTGAGCCCTTCCTGGGAGGCAGGATGCTACATTAATCCAACCTGCTATGCCAGTTTTCCTCCCAACCCTTTAATATACAGGCGAAGTGACCTGGATGTTCGGAGACATTACATGGAGACCAGGTTGGCAGAGCAGGGTACTGTGGATTTTTGGGCTAGTGGTGCAACCAAAAAGCAGGAGAAGTACCAGTACCATTACAGAGAGAGCTTCAATATCTGCTTCAGTTAAAGCTGAAGAACATTTGCAGCATTGCTGCAAGTTATTTTGTTCCCTTTTATACAAAAAAAGCCATTTTCCACATCTTAGATGATCTGCTACGTTATTCACTCTGTGTTTGGGGGTTGTAGAACATAACTAGGGTTAGATGGGGTATTGGGAAGAAATTCTTCCCTGTGAGGGTGGGGAGGCCCTGGCACAGGTTGCCCAGAGAAACTGTGGCTGCCCCATCCCTGGAAGTGTTCAAGGCCAGGTTGGATGGGGCTTGGAGCAACCTGGGCTAGTGTAAGGTGTCCCTGCCTGTGGCAGGGGATGGAACGAGATCCCTTCCAACCCAAACCAGTCTGTGATCTTTATGGAGATTAGTCAAATGTTGAGGCAGAAGGGAACTGCAGACGTATGGAGTCATCCTCTCGGTGACATCCAAGCATGTCATGTTCCTTCTAATTCTTTCTCTCTCAGAACAAGCTTTTATCTTCTGGAGTTGTGTTCAGAGTTTTGTTAATACTTGAAAATGATAAAAAGCTTATGTTTAACAGGCAACTAGGTTCCCTTCCTCATCTTAGGGGCTGATGCACAAGGCTGGAGAAGTCAGAGGTTCAATAAGATTATATTTAATTTCTCTGTGCTCTCCTACAGAAAACCATATGGGATAAAGGTCAACTTGATCATGATGCTATTGTATGCATATACAATGCAAAACCATTGATCTCTCTTTCAAAAGCACATTTATTCCTACTTGGCAAATCTCTTCTCTGTAACTGCTTGTAAACCAACACCCTCCTACAAAAGGCCAGAATTCAGCCTTTGTGACAGGAACTCGGTATTAGTGACAGCCCACGGCAGCCTAAACCTCCCCCACTCTCTGCCCAGTTTAACCAAGGAAATACAGTACAGCTGTGTGAGGGTAACACTGAATGTGGTGCTGGCTTAGGTGGGATAAACAGGCAATGCTTGTGAGACTGCAGTGGGCAGCCCCTGGGTGACTGGGCTGGCCCTCAGAGCAGGGAGCAGCAAGACCTGCCAGCTGCAAGGGGAAAAGGCTTTCCAAGGGAATCAGCTGTGGTCTGTCAGACCAGCTTTGCAGAGAGACAAGCTACGGAGGCTGGGCTGCCACCATGTCCCAGGAGAGCTGTGAAATCAGTGCAGTGGATCAGCAGAGCAGAAGGCTTCTGCTGGAAGGGGCTGCTTCACCTTTTGTGGCAATGGGCCTATGTCTGCTCAGCAATTGGCCACACACCCCCTCGAGCACCACTCACCTCTGCCACCTTAAGTACTGAAACTCAGAATCGCCTCTTCCCAAGTATCTCAAGCAGCCTTTAAAAATACCATTTAGCATGACAAATGCCAGAAAACCTTAATTTTTATTTTCTGCTCTCAGCAGAAGAGGGTTTCGAGGGCAGTTCCATCTTCAGGACAGATATTTAGTTCAGGGTCTAGAACTTGGTGAAACTCAATCTAAAACCTTGAACTGTTGCTGCTGCTTTCCTTCAGCAGAGACCCAACAGCTTTGCAGCGTGACATGCTTATCACAGGCTGGTTTGATGGTCTCCAGTATTAGCTGAAATAAAGGTGAGGAGCTGGCACTGTACCTGTGTGAAGGGCTGATCCTCCTGCTCACAACTGAGGTGAAAACCCAGCAATGCAATATTTGCCTCACCAGAGCAGGGCATTCCTTCAGCTCACTCAGAGAGAGCCGTCAGCTGGTACCTCAAGGGCACTGAGGCTCTGCCTCTCAAAGGGGTACAGGACACTGCAGTTACAGGAGTTCTGCCTGGAATTGCCTTCCTGCCTCTGCCTGGCTCCTTCACCAACATTCAGCCTCTACAACTTCTCACACACTGTGCACAAAACACTTCTTTGCTGCCACAAGACAGTGATTGGAAGCATCAGTCTTACTCCTAACAAGTGCTGTGTGTCATGCACAGGATCACTGCCACTTTCTTATAATGATGCCATAAACATGGACTAATATAAAACAAAATAAGAGGATATAAGCTACAACTTACCTGCCAATAGCTATTTGAACAATGCTTTCAGATTCTGATTACTTTAATCTTTTTTTATGACCAATTTTGATTTTATACTCTAACGATAACACCAGCATTAAATGGAGAAAACATTTTGCATTTGAATAACGTGAATAAGAGTATTTAAATTTAGTTCAGCAATTTAGAAATTAGCAAAAATTACAGCCTTTAAAATACCATTTAGCATGACAAATGCCAGAAAACCTTAATTTTTATTTTCTGCTCTCAGCAGAAGAGGGTCTCAAGGCCAGTTACAAGATGCAGTAGGCAGCAAGCAGGAGGCTGAGGTTTGAGAGGCACATTAAGAGTGGAACTGACTGCCTGGGAACCCACATGAGACAGAACTGGATGTACCTTTTCAAGTAGGTGGATACATAGGTGGTGGGTGCACCAGAATGGGGAGCTTCGTTTCCCTTTGACTCGTCCCTCCAGGGCTGCCGGCTGTAGGAGCCGCTCCTCACCAGGTTCACAGCTGATTCCCTAATGCAGGACAGAGCACAGGGCTTGGTTACAAAAACCTCTGGAGTCTACTTCTGGCTCCTTTACAGTTGCACAACGCAAATCCTTCCCTTACATCCACATGCACCGATGCTCACAGGTGACACAGCTCAGAGAAACATCTGTTCTGGCCTTACTGATGCTGCTATTGCCAGACCCCTTCAGAACCACAGATGATGTAATGTTTTGCATAAAGAGGAACAAAATCCTTTTTAGTCAGAAAACTTGCAAATGAAATTTAGATCGTCCATAAAAGTAATTTAACATATTAAATAGTGTCATTTGATATTTCCTCTGCCATCTTGTATCAAATAACACGGTATAAATGGGCAGATATTGGAACTGCTGGGAAGTTTTTATTCTCCAAAGTATCCAGGCAAGGACAAAAGCAATCCAGCCCAGCAAATCCTTTCGTGGAATTGCTAAAGTTGGAAAAGCCCTCTAGGACCATCAAGTCCAACCATTAACACACCACTGCCAGGTCCACCACTAAACCATGCAGCAGAAAACAACATACAAAACATTTGCAATATCTCAAACTACTTGACAAGTTATCAATAAATTCCTAGCAGCCCTATTTATCCTGGTTATGTGAAATCAGGGCTCTTTCCCTCTGGTGGTGTATCCTGCTCTCCTCTGGTCCTGGACAGGACCTGGAGCTTGGAGTGCAGTGCAAATCCACTCCCCCATCAGCCTGCAATTATTTTCTATTGCCAATTGCTGTGCCCGTGCTGACACCCTCTCAGACACCTGTGGGTTCTGGGAAGTCAAACTCATCTGCTTTTAAAGGAAAGAATATTTGGAAAATCTACTCCCCAGCAGGCCTGGCACCATCTGTTACCACAGGCCAGTTCTCCTTGGGCCTCACTCACCCAGCAAAGGACACCTGTCAGCACTCACTGGATGTGCCACTCGATAGCAGCCTCTGCCAAATTCTGAGATTCTCTGAATCTGAGATTCTCTGAATCTCAGAGACTGGCTGAGAGTGAGCAAGAACACAGCGGGGAGGTTCCAGCAAAAGATCAGCAAAGAATCTCAAGCTGTGCTGAAATTCTCTCAGGGTGTTGTCTGCCACAGCTCCTGCCCAACAATTACAGTTCACAGCCACTTCTTGCATGTGCCTTTCTTCCTCCATTGGGGAAGTGCTGGAAAAGAGGTTAAGCTCAAATTTTACTCCTTCTAGCACAAACTGAATCATAGAATGGCTTGAGTTGGAAGGGACCTTAAAGATCATCTTGTTCCACCTCCCTGCCGTGGGCAGGGACGCCTTCCACTAGACCAGGTTGCTCCAAGCCCTGTCCTTGGACACTTCCAGGGATGGGGCAGCCACAGCTTCTCTGGGAAACCTGTACCAGGGCCTCAGCACCCTCACAGGGAAGAATTTTTTCCTAATATCAAATCTAAACCTACAATCTGTCATTTTGAAGCCATTCCTCTTTCTCCTGTCACTCCAGGCCCTTGTAAATAGTCTCTCTCCATCTTCCTTGTAGGCTCCCTTCAGATACTGCTGAAGTAGCTGTTTGTAGAGATCAGCTCTTCAAATATATCTGGAGATACTGGATATGTAAATATCCGATTTATACTGTGGTTCTGTCCAGGGGCAACTACACACATTGACTGTAAAAACAACCCTGCAATGAAACAGTTCCTACATGGCAGAGTTCACAGGCTCAAGTGAATCACAAGTGACAGATGTGTGAACAAAGGGACTGCAGGTGACTGCTGAGCAAGTGACAAGTGCAAGTGCAGGTGCCAGCTACAAAATGAGGCACTTGCATATAAAAGGAACAAGGATGCATCAACCTAGTTCCCTGGATGGAGCTCGTGTGTGTGTGAGCACCGGGGTGGAGGAACCAGCCTGCTGCCCCGCTCACCTAAATGAAAAGCACCACAGCAGAACTTTATAGACCAGAGCTGGCTCTTGATGTTGTGAATTCCCGTGTCCTTGGGACTGCTGAGAAAATACATGGAGCATGACTACAGAAAAATGGAACTACTGACAGGATGGAAGCTGAGCATTAACTTTAGCCAGTCTCACCTGTTTTCTTTTTCTTCTACATCGCTCGTACTGCTCAGTCTTCTGGGAGCTATGGTGGCAAGATAGCTCTTGTTGTCTTTATCCTGCTGAAGCAAAACAGGGACTTCAGCTGCACATCTCTTACCCTTCTAGCATGTTCAGCAGCAATTAAATGCATGTTTAAATTTTTTCAACTAAGCAAGCATTCTCCTATCTAAGGACAGCTGGTTTAAGGCATTTTCTTGGGCAACAGATATCACAGCATAGAAGTATCAGTTCTGAAAGAGACTTCCTGAGGAACATGTTAGTGAATAAAAGCATTTTCTAACTTACAGAATTAGTTATAAATCACAGAATCAGAGAATGGCTTGGGTTGGAAGGGACCTTTGGAGGTCATCTAGTCCAGCACCCTGCCATGGGCAGGGACACCTTCCACTAGACCAGGTTGCTCCAAGCCCCATCCAACCTGGCCTGAACACTTCCAGGGATGGGGCATCTACCTATAGGGTAGTTACAGCTAGTGAATATGTGGGGTGGGAGTCACAAATACAGCTGGTGGATACAGGAGGAATCCCTATAGACAAGAGGGAAGAAGAATTTCCACTGCAGGTATGTGCTACTGTCTGGATTTGGTATTTTCTGGTAAAGAATGGGCCACATTAGACTGGCAGCCCCTGTTCAGGGCCAACCCAGTCCAAACTGAGCACGAATTAGGTCAAAGGGGCAACAAATTCCAGTTCTGGAGGAACAACTGATAGGAGAGGAATAATTTTCAAAGGAAAAGAAACAAAGAATGAAGTTATGGATACAAAACTCAGCAATAACTCAAAGGGAAAGTGTCTTAAACATGTGAGGTGAAGTGGGATGCACTAATGCATCCGTGCTGAAAGCCAAACCTTTTCCTTGTTGTCCAATAGTGCAGATATCCGAGGGCTGGACGAGGAACGATAGATAGAAGCAGCCTTATCTCTCTGTGCCTCACGAGTGGCAGCGACTTCGCTCAACATGTTGTGGCTGCCCGTCTTCCTCAGCCCCAGCCGCCACGACGACGGTGACTCATCCTTCTGCTCCTCCGACTTGCTGAGCCAACTGAACTGCAGAGGAGAAACACGGACAGTGGGAAGAAGTGAGAGCACTGCAAGGCACACACTAAGTTCTGACAGGGTCTCAACAAGCCCCAGTTTTAGCTGGGCTACACTTGTAAGATGGAGTGACTTCGATTTCCTCCTTTGCTTTAATTACAGGACAGAGCTCAAGGTGAACTCGCAGGGATGGAAACTGATGAAGGGCCTCATCCCCAAGGACACACAGTGAAAGGAATCTTGTGTCATTGGGCAGCTCTTTGCCTACACAATGCCCTCCTCCAGCTTTGAGGAAAGAATACAAGGAACAATGAAACTTTTATTAGCACCCTTTTAGGAAGGGGGAATTATTCAGTAAAGGCAGAAACCAAAAACAAGTACTCAAGTCTTTTGGGACTGGCTGCAAATAAACCCCTCAGATCAATCAAACTGGAGGGAGTCCAGGAGAATCCACTAAGATCATCAGGGAGCTGGAGCCAGCGACACACTAAGGGGAAGACTGAGGAAACCTGGATTGTTTAGCATGGAAAAGAAAGGATTTAGTTGCTCTGCTACTTCAGGATGGGTTTACAGAGGACATGGAACCAGACTTGTCTACAGTCTACAGTGAAGAGAGAACAGAGAAGCTTCAACATGGGAAATCCCTGCTGACATGGAGACATACCACCTGGTAGGAGTGATGCTGCACTGCGACAGGGGGTAAGGAAGCAGAGCATCTCCATCCCCAGAGACCTTTTAATACTCAGCTGAGCTCAGGTAGATCAAAGCATCAGGTCAGGGCTTGAAGTCAGCCCTGCTTCGAGCAGGAGGTTGGGCTGCAGCCTCACAGAGGGCTCTCCTAGTGCAACCTTTTCTGTGGGCAGGTAACTGCAGACTCTGTACAGACACAGAACAGGCCCTCGTGCTTTTTGCTACATGAGGCACTTCTGACCAGCATATATCATTCCTTAAAGATACAACTGCTTAAATGCACAACTTCAGCTACCGTTATCAAGTCTTACAAAAAGCTGCCTACTGCCATCAAGAATGAGGCCTGAGCATCACAAGAGATACTTGTACAGGGGCTCAACACCAAGCTGTAAAGGAAATAAAGCAAACAAATTATTAGGAATTATTGGAAAAGTACAGAATACACAACACAGCTCTATGTTACTGCAGGGTACAATCACATCTTTGGTCTCATGCACAGCTCAGCATTATTAGATGAGAAGGGAAGAGATTCAGAGAAAGCAAGAATGAGCAGAGCAAGAGAGGTTTTGTATGAAGAGATGCTCAATATATTAGGAATCTCCAGGCTGAGATATGTACCACGGTACATGAAACCCTAAGTGGCACACAGAAGAGTGAATAAGGATCCCTTGGTCCTTCCCATAAAGGAACAATGGGCAGCAAACAAATCTGGTGTGTGGCAGGTTAATGGAACAGGGGCAGGGAGCTCTGTAGGGTTTGTAATTAAGCTGAAGAGCCCTTTGCCCCTGGACATTAGAGGATTCCAATCAAAAAGTGACTGCACAAATTCACAGAGGAAAAATCCAACAGGGGCTACTGAAGACAAAAAGTACCCCAGGTTCAGCAACTCCCTGAAATGTCAATTGTTGGAAGGTGGGACAGAAGTCCTGCAAGATTCTGTCTTCTCTATTATCTTCTGATGGTCTCTGTGAGGGGCAGGACACTGGGCAGACAAGGCTTTCAGTCAGAGTTGATCTAAGCATTATTACACCATATTCTACATGATGTAAACCATCCAGAACAAATGGAGTTACTGTGGAGCTCTGCCCTCAGCCTCAAGACTGCAAAGCTCAAATTACGCCTGCAGTATTTGAGCAATGTTTTCAGCTTTTGTCATTTTAATGCAAATGCAAAGAGTTAATCTGTACTGCACCATTTCTAGCACTTCCAGCCTCCTGACCTACACAGCTCTAACACTTTAATGTAGTTTTGATGTTTTCCTCAGAGAAAGCTCAAATCCACAACAAAAGCTGCTGCCTGTAAATTCTGAACAACACAGCATGTCCTAATAACTCCCCAAATGGAGGGCAACAGAAGCACTTGTATTTTCTCATCCAAAGCCCAATCTGTCAGGGAGAGTTACAGAAAAATCAAACAGGTAAGAGAAGGTAAGGTAACTGATCTTAAGTGACTGAAGTCAAATCAATAACTGCTCTCCACACAGGCCACCTTCCATACCCTAACAGCCTTATTCTGGGTTAAACATCTCAAAGGAGTGAGACCAAACCTCTGCAGCTGGGAAAAGGTTAACCAAAGTGCTCTCACTTCCCAGTATCCTTCTACCTCTAACAGTTCCACTGCTAAGCCAGCCTGAGTTGAGCAATGCCCAGAGGAGCTCTGTTTCATTTGATCTGGATGAGCAATTTCACTGAGTAGCATGTGAAAAATACAAAAAATACAAAACTGTGACTAAGTAAGAAATATTTCCCTCTGACATGCACCCAGTGCTTCAGCCTGGGGCCAGGTGCCTGCGTGGCTATTCTCCATGGTCTGGTGCTAAAAGAAACCAGCAGCAGAGGATACCAGTGCTGGGCAGAACAGGGTCTCCTGGTGCCATCTAGCTGAGTGATGTGAGAGCTGGAGGAGTCAGGTAAGATTGCAGTAACTGCTTCACCTTTCAAAGTTCCCATAGTCCAGCTGGCCTGTCAGATGTAAACCTCTGCTTGCTGGGCTGTAACATCACTGAGTCAACAGGGTTTGGCATGTCTAGGGCACTTGTGATGACACTGCCAAATTCACCACTGATACACCAGCAGGAATCAGTTCTGATGAAAGATCTCCTGGGAAGAGATTGGCATCAGCCACCTCGGAACTGATGGCACACAGAGCACGTGCTGTACGCTGGGTTTCTTGTGAACAGCACAATTTGCTTGGGAGGGTCAGAGATTCAAGAGGAACCTGATGGTACCAACACCCTCCTTGGGGCCAGTCCTACACTGGTATTAACACAGAGATTTAACAGGCTTGCCTAATATCATCCTTTCCGAAATTCAAGTCTTAAACTGCTCTGAAAATTGGTTTCAGAGCATCCATCTCCCAGTAACACCTCCTGCTTCTGAGCACTGCTGAGTCCCATTGATTCCAAATTCACTTACTCTTCTGGCAGACGCAGTGAAGGAGTTGGGCTCGGGTGGTGGCATTTGCTCAGTGATGCTGGGCCTGGATTCACGGCTGGAGTGGTTGGCAAAGGGCTCTTCCTTCCTCTCTAAAATTTTAAACAAGAAGAGAAACCAAATGTTTCAGTATTGCCTTTCCAAGGCCTATCTTTACATAGAGTGTGCTCTACACTCCAGTTCAGTGCTGTGTGACCTCAGACCCCTCAGGTCACAAGGCTAAGCCAGGCTTTCTGCAAAGAGCTTTCCACTTCCTAAAGAATAGGATGGATACATTTGGCAGGCAAAGCTTTAGAACTTGATCCCCACAGACAAGCAAAATCTTAGCAGAAAGGAGGACAAACAGACTCTTTGTTTTTCACAGTTTTGTTCCCTATCTGGGAATGTCCTTCCCTTGCAAAATCTGGGATGAAAAGCAGCACGTGCTGTTCCTGCTGGAGCACATGTGTGTTACAGCCCACAGCCCCAAGTGCCTGGTGTGGGTTTCACTGCACGGGTCTCTGCAGTTGTTGTGCTGCTGGGCAAAATTTCTGGTCTTCTGCAGCAAAATCCATCTTTCTACAGGAATCCAGGACTGCTGCCCAACAAAACCCCTTACCAGGGCTCCAAGCAAGCTAAACAATCCCTGTCCAGGCTCACAACTGGCTCCCTGCTTGTCAGACAAGTGCAGCTGTCCAGCATTACATTTATTTTTGTATCTATGCATCTATGCACCGAGCTGGACAGAGGAACATCCAACAGACATTACCGGGGAGAGGAAGCAGAAAGTGTGTCTCAGGCAATAGGTTCAGTTTACAGGAGTGCAAAAGGCTGGAAGATAGACTATTTACCAAAAACCCAGGCACATGCAACCTGCCTGAGAAAAGATGTACCTACACTAAACAATTTGTTTTCCTGAGAGCTGTGAGTGCTCACACAAACACGGCTTTGAAAACATAAAGTAATTTTAAGCATAAGCACCCAAACAGTCTTAGCAAATGAGATATGTGCAGGGAATAAAGATCTGCTGTTCCACACTTGGAGCAGTTTGGGGTGGAGCATCTGGGAGGACAGCACCTTGGAGCATGAAGATCAGTCTTTCTGAAACAAATGTTCTCAGTCCTACAAAAAAAAGGATTCAAAGGACATGGAAAACAGAAAAGAGCAAGCCAAGAGAAACATTTAAAAATAAAAGGCAGTGAGCAGGACTGACAGAGCCTGAATTAAAGTGGCAAAGACAGAATCATGGAATCTGAGCAGGAAAGGATCATCAAGTCCAACTCCTGGTCTTGTACAGAACATCCCAACAATCCCACCCCGGCCCTGAGAGCATTGTCCAAACACTCCTTGAGCTCTGGCAGCCTTAGGGCCATGACCACTGCCCTGGGGAGCCTGTTCAGTGCCCAACCACCCTCTGGGGGAAGAATCTTTTCCTGATATCCAACCTAACCCTCTCCTGACACAACTCCAGCCACTCCCTTGGGTGCGTGTGAGACTGAAATCTCAGCCACTTTCCCTCTCCGTGTTGTCTCAGAACTTCCATCCAAGTCATCTCAGAAGAGGATTCCAGTTCTGGAGCCAAACACTCAGGTGCTCTGTCACACAGCCCTTTGGGAAAGGGGCCCATTCCTCCTCGCAGGCCCAGCTTGGCACACTTGGCATCCGTGTCCATGGAAATGCACACGGACAAGGAACAACACTGCCATGTGCTGATTTCTTGAGCCTGAAGCCTGTAAACCAGAGGGCACTGCAGGAAGGGCAGGCTGCACCAGGCTGTGCAGGCTGGGTGGTGGGGACTGGGAGCCTGCTCTGGAAGTACATAGTGCAGAGGTCAATTTTAAGGTCAAGCCTAATTAGAAGGCCACAGGCTTAAGTGGTAATGACAGGTTGGGAAGGGCTCTAACTATGAGCAATGTGACTGAAGGGGGTTGATTGCAGAAGCAGGACAGGCTGAAGGACCCTGTGCTGGCAGCAGGAGATGGCACAGTCATGGGCAGCATTAGCTTCGGGGCAGGGTCCCACACTTTATTTTACTGACATTTCAGCAATAAACATGACAAATTCCAGTCAAGGGAAACTGCTGAGGATTAGTTCAACCTCCCCCCAAAAATTTGGTGAGAGTAAAAATTAATTTTTCTAATTCCTTTCTCTTAAGGAATTTCTAATTCCTTTCTCTTAGAGTTTTTGTTTGGTTGGTTTTTAAACAAAACAACACTGAAAGCTTCCCTGGCCTGCTTTAATCCCCAATAATTACATATTGTAATAGTTCCCAGCACAGATAATGACCATAGAATTTTATACTGATCTTTCTCTTGTTTATATACAACCCAATTCCAAATTAATTGTCCTCAAGATGAATAAAGTGGCATTAATGCTCTTTGTTTGAAGAACAGAAACTTCTTACAGATTGTCAGAAATGCTACTCCTAAGCCTTCCAGCAATTTCACTGCTTCCCTCATCCAATTTCTTCCTCCCACAGTCCCTGTGAATTCAACAAATTGATCGCAACCTGAGACTCTTCAAAACACACCTCGAACTAAACTTGTGTTACACTGCTGGCCTCGACATGTCCTGCTTTATGCTGAGTTATGAAGGAGGTGGAATTTTTGGGTTCAAAAAGATCACTCAGAATATTTTTATTTTTCTTCATCTGGACTTTGAACACCTCAGAACAACTGTCATCACCAATGTGTTCAGCACTGCTCAGAATGACACAGCTATGGGGATATTTAAGGAAATGAAGAGGAATAAGGAAATAATTTCCGTGTTTTCATACCCATGTTTTCTTTACCATCCAAGCATTTAAAATGTTGAGCAGATAATCCTGGAACCACAGAATATCAGAATGGTTTGGGTTGAAAGGGACCTTAAAGTTCATCTTGTTCTGCCCCCTGCCATGGGCAGGGACACCTTCCACTATACCAGGTTGCTCCAAACCCTGTCCAACCTGGCCTTGGACACTTCCAGGGATGGGGCAGCCACAGCTTCTCTGGGCAACCTGTGCCAGGGCCTCACCACCCTCACAGGGAAGGATTTCTTCCCAGTATCCCATCCAACCCTCCCGTCTGGCAGTGGGAAGAAACTCCTCTTGTCCTGTCACTCCAGGCCCTTGTAAATAGTCTCTCTCCATCTTTCCTCTAAGTTCCCTTCAGGTCCTGGAAAGCAGCAATTAGGTCTCCCCGGAGCTTCTCTTCTCCATACTGAACAATCCTGGTTCTCTCAGCCTTTCCTCACAGCAGGGCTGCTCCATCCCTCTAATCAGCTTGGTGGCCTCCTCTGGACTTGCTCCAGCAGCTCCATGTCCTTCCTCTGCAGGGTCCCCAGAGCTGGAGGCAGCTCGGCAGGTGGGGTCTCACCTGAGCAGGGCAGAAGGGCAGAATTTCCCCCTCCCCTGCTGCCCTGCTGTGGGATCAGCCCAGCATACAGTTGTCTGTCCTTAAAACCAGTAACACACTGACATTTATAATTTTCATTATCAAAAGCTATAACTGACAACCATGTCTCCATCCAGCTGGGCAAGTCCGTGTTCATTCTATCAGAGACTTGAGAAGTTTACAAGGTGAGGTTTCAACTCTGATGGAACTGTCTCAAAGGAGCCATTAATCTCTTCAGGAAAGTAGAGCACAGGTAACAAAGCCTGAAGCCTGAAGCTTAATCATTACTTGAGTGCTTTTTGTCTTCCATTTGTATTGGCTTGAGTGGTTTGACACAGATTCCTATAATGTGCTTTGCTCAGTGAATTAATGCAATAAAAAGACCTGTTCTGGCTTTACACAAAATTTAATGGTGACTGCTGTGGATCTTTCCTTGCTGAAGGATCTCAGGCTGTTCCTGACTCAGTCAAACCCCACGCAGCTCCAGGGCTTACAGGGGTCTGTACATTTGAGGTGTTTTGGTCGAACTCCCATCATGTTTAAAAGAATTACAAGTTTTGGCACACAACTACAAAGCTATAATTTATACAGATATAATTTATATATGTAGAAATAAATATATATATTAAAAAATAACATACATAATCAGGGAAAACCCCTGATTTATGGAGCAAATAATATATGACACCTACTGTGTGTCTGTTTCTACCACTGACTTCTCCACTAGATCTGCTTGATTTAAAAGCCAAAAGATTACTTCCCTGTGCTACTGTCATGCCCACATGTTCCTGTCATGGTGTAACACCAGCTCTGGGAGGAGCAGCCAGGATTCTCCACCCCTCTCACCCTGCCATAGCAGCATTAATGACAATCAGAACACAGGTGAAAATTTCACTGGCACAGAAGCAGGACAAAACTTTAAACTGCACTTCTCTGCAAGGACTTATGTATCAGGATATTGGGATATAGGCCAAGTAAGCTGATGTTAAAAGTAATTTAACCATTAAACACATCACAGACCAAGATCCATCTGTGTTTGCAGAATATTAAGTAGAAGTTAGTCTCAGCTTACTGTAAAATTAAGTATCTTTATTTAAACTTTCTGTGCTGCACATAAACACTTTTTAAAGTAATTAAGGAAGCCACAGAAATTATGGAAAAGGAATGGGAGTAAGATGCCAGCAATATGTTATAATGTAAAGGCTAATGTGACTCTATTCACTTAATCTTTATTTTCCACTATGTTTTGCAACTATTATACATCACACTCAGAAATAAAAAAGTTCCTCATCTCTATAATTACCCAGAACAGCTTCAGCCCTTGTTTCATGTCTGTAATCCAAACACAACAGGTTATTGCTTTCCTACACCTTCATTTGCTTTCCTACCATCCTGCAGTATCTGAAGGGTTTATCTTGAACTGGGCCAAAAAAAACAAACCCTCCTGTTTAAGAACAAACTATGAACAATGTGTTATCTCAAGCAGAAATTTAATAGGATGTGCAGGATTTTTGTTTTAAAAAAATTATGCTGACCTGGGAGTCAGCATTTGGATCACCTATTTTAGCACACGAGCTACTGATTTCTCCATATTCTGTACATATACACTGGAATGTTAATTATTAAATCCAAGAGATTATTAAATCTAAGTCTTACCTGACTCCTTTTCAGCATCCGATTCTGAAACTTCATCTTCAGCTTCTTCCTCCTCTTCAGAACTAGAACTACTTGAGTCTTTGTTCTCTTCCTCCATTTCCATGGACTTCAGTGTGTCTTCCTCATAAAGAATCTTCTCTTTGCTGCAAAATATAGAAATTTTAAGGCCTACCCCAGGCAAGTGAGTTAGAATTCTGAGTTCCACTTCTCAGGAACACACAGACATGATTTACTACATATAGAACAAGCATAGGACAAAAATCCATCTACAGATTCAACACCCCAGCATTTCCAGCACGGGCCATTTGCCATGCATTCCACTGCCAGTCTCACATTTTGTAAATCTGCAAGCATTTTTACCATCAAAAAAAAAGTGGTCTCTCATTTCTTAGAGCCACCCAACCCAGCAGCTGTAGGGCTCCGTGCAACAGAAGGTGCAGCTCTCAGCTCAAAGCTCTAACTGATCCTCAGCCAGAGCAGGAGAACCAAGCACCAGCCCAACCCCTTGTTCCACCACTCAGTGGGTGTGTTAGGAAACAACTAAAATTGTATTTGAGAGAGCTCAAATTTAAAAAAAACCCCCACGAAATGAACAGCAGTGAACTGTTTTTGACCCAGCTGAGGCCAGCTGGCTGTGACAGATGAAGCTGCTCTCCCATTACTCCCTGGGCAGCTCCTTTTCAAATAAGAGGGAGAGACTTACTTGGTGAAGAGTCTGCTTTGAGGCTTCCCGTTCATGTCAGCTTCAATCAGCTTATTCCTCGTCTCCTTCTCACTTCGCAACTGTCAAAAAGCCCAGGAAGATTGGGGGAGGAATGAGAAGAGACATGTTAACCAGCCACCTCAGCACAATCCAATAATCACCACAGCCCAGCCTCACCAGACCAAAAATACTGTGGATTTGTTTAACAAGCCAATTCAACAGCAGCACATCTGCAAGGGCACTGTGAGCTTTGGACTCGAGTTCTGTCAGAGCACGGCCACACACCCAGCAGGTCCTCACACTGCAACACAAACCCTTCAAAGACACCTGCAAAAGTCCCTGCCCAGACCCAGAGACAAACCCTGACTGCTGCCCAGAAAGCTGCGGGCTCCCTGTCCCTGGAAGTGTTCCAGCCCAGGCTGGATGGGACTTGGAACAACCTGGTCTAGTGGAAGGTGTCCCTGCCCATGGCAGAGGGTGGAACTACAAAAACCTCAAAGCCCCTCCAACCCAAACCATTCTGTGACTGTGCTGGAGGTCTGCCCACACGTGTGTGTGCCCATGAAATCAGGCTGGATTCAGTTAAGAATTCGCTGCCTTTGTAGCTATTATTGACTTGTTCTCAGAGGAAAACATTCAAGTCAGGATGGGTCACTTCTTAAATCTCTCAAATGCATGAAGTCATTGCACAAGAACACCTGGGATCACCCCAGCAATGGAAACATTTTGTCCAGAGAGTAGCAATATTAATTTCGCCAACATTAATGGACAAAATAGTTCCCAAAAATCATTTTAGTACCTTCCAGAAGCCCAGACGTAGCTGAGACAGAAGAAGAGATGGCAGAGGCTAAATTTAAGGCTAGCTCTGTTTTGTCATGGCTCACAAATTACTCTTTCTCTTCTGACAGGAGTTGATGACACCAGACACCGGAAGCAAAAGCTCTGCAAATTCTGAATCAGAGAATCTCAGAATTCTTTGGGTTGGAAGGGACCTTAAAAATCACCCAGTTCTACCCCCTGCCACAATCAGGGACACCTTCCACTAGCCCAGGTTGCTCCAAGCCCTGTCCAACCTGGTCTTGGACACTTCCAGCGATGGGGCAGCCACAGCTTCTCTGGGCAACCAGTGAAGTAGGAAAAGCTACACGGATTCCAGCAAAGAGCCAAAATTTGGAGTACAGCACATTGTTAAACAGACCAAATTGCTGGAGCACAGCAAAGGGAAGTGCAGGAAACAGCCCACTCCATTCATAGGGACGGGGAGAAAAATCCAAACCCAAACCAAAATATTGCTTCCAGCAAACAAAAATCCCCTCTGCTCTCCAATAACAGCAGCACACCTTTAAGCAAGGGGGGCACAGTGTTCTGCCTCAAGCTTTAGAGTAAGAAAATATCTGATTTGAGAGCCATTTTCAAAGTGAAATAATGACTTAGAGCAATGTCATGGAATTGCCTGTTTCGTCCTTAACAAATGTGAGTTTTCTATTTTTAAATGCTAAAAATGGCACATGATAAATGCACATGATAAAATGGCATTTCCATTAAAAAATCATATCCACTAAAAAAAAGAAGTGGGATACAATCTGGATTCTTCTGTCCAGTTCTACACTGAATGAATAAATGGAAAAGGCCCTTATATAGTGCTGCTGTATAGAGAACAGAGGGGTTGTAGCCCCTGCAAAACAGCCCTAAAAATGGGTGAGCACCCAACCAAAAAATTCTTCTTGTTGTCTTTCTTTTTCTTTGCTTTAAAGGAGAGCAGTTATCTGCAGAATCCTGGGGTAGTGAGAGAGGAGGGAATCAAAAATACAACCCTGATAGTATTTATCAACACCTCATTTAGGGAGAAGCTGATTAATTTTTAAGAAGTTCCTGTGAATGTTAAGGCTGCTATTTGAGGATGGCAGCAGCTGTGTTGTGATCAGAGCTGGAGTTCTAACCACCCACATTGCCAGTTCCTCAAAATACTTTCCTGGGGTTTATCAGCACTGTTCTCATTCTGTCTGCTTCTGAATCCAACCTTTTAAATAATAAAAATTTTTAATTTCTTTTAAAGAAGCTTGGTTTGTTTTGTGGAAGCCTCCAAATGAGAGAATTGAGTAGATCAAATAAAATAGGAAAAAATCCAATCCAAAACCAACTTTCTGGCCTTACGTTGGTCAAGATACATTTTTGTTTTCCTTTTTTTATGGCAACTTGTGGCTTATAACCCCCTCCAGCATCTCCACTGCACTATGAAATGGCAGTTTTGAATAATACGGCTTTGAAATCTCCCATTTTTTCAGAATTCCCTGAAGTTTATAATTTCTTCTCCCTCAATCCAAAGCCTCCCTATTGTAAGAGAGGCAGGCACGGTAACAGAACTTTCTCAATGCTGATAGTGTATTTCCTTGGATGCAAACACAAAGTGGACTTGGGAAATCACTCATTAGGAACAGAGCAGTTTGATGCTAGAGAGGGTTTGATGCCAGCAAACTGCAGGATAATAACAATCCCAAAGGTGAACTGCACATTCCTTATCAGTTCACATAACTCTGCATGCCAGCACACTACTGACCTTCTTGCTGCAGTCTGGATTTCCAGCTATTAAAAATATTGCTGTGATTAAAGATTGCAAACGACTAACAAAAAAAAAATAGCAGGGCCTCAGCTTCCTGCATCTGTTGGCACCATATGTTTTGGAGAAGATCTGTGTGTGGAAAGGTAATTGGAGAGGTGGAAAATGATCTCCAGAAACTCACCACAGTCTGTTTCTTCTGCAGCATTTCTAAATGCTCCACGAGTCCCTCATCAGCCACGTCGAAGGGCGTCTGGCCCTGGTGCAGTGAGAGAACACAAGAGGGTATCTGATATGGCATGGTGGTAACAGTCAAAAAAAGCACTATTTACCAGTGAACATACATCACATCCTCCCTCCCCAGAAGGTGAGGGACACTCGGTCCAGAGCAGGGAAACCCATGTGACAGTGACCACAGATCACAGAAGATCATGTTCACACCTAAGATCATGTTCATGTTTGGTGAGCAACCTTTCACATGGCAGGGCAGCTCCCTGGTTGCTGCTGCTCAAATCCAACAGCTAGGACTTAAATGGTTTAGTTTCCAGGCTTCCAAAAAGGACGCTCTTGTACTGAGAAAGAATATGATCAACCTGTTTGTAGGCTGGATATCAGGAAAAGATTATTCCCCCCAAGGGTGATGGGGCACTCAACAGGCTCCCCAGGGCAGTGCTCACGACCCCAGACCTGCCAAGGAGTTCAAGGAGTGTTTGGACAAAGCTCTCAGGGTGGGATTTTGGGGGGTCTTCTGCAGGGCCAGAAGTTGGACTCAATGATCCTTGTGGGTCCCTTCCAGTTCAGGAGATTCCATGATTCCAGGTTACTGTATCATCATGTATTTAAACCTCCTGAGAGGCTGCCAGCCAACAGCCAGCCAAAAAACTTGGGATCAACTTGCACATCTATGGGCATTTATAAACTAAAACAAATCAAAAAAATTACTCTGGAGCACAAACCAAGAAATCAGTTACATTTTCAACATAACTAAAGCTCTAATAGCCATTTAATTACCAACACGCAATGAAACCTGATGGCCAGGGATCAAAGAAATGCAGGGAGCCTTGGCCACCTGACCCAGCAAGGAGACAGTCCTGGTTTGGGAGGACAAAGTAATGCAGCAAATACAACTGTGTCTGTTTCTTTTCAAGTCTGGCACGATAAAAACCCCACACACATCCTGAACACTTTGGAAAAGCACCCAGTGGCACTTTAAACAGAAAATATTCCCTGTATTTTGGGTGCCAAAGAGCTCTCCAAGAGAACTGGAGAGGGACTTTGGACAAGGGCCCAGAGTGACAGGATAAGGGGGAATGGCTTCCCACTGACATAGGGCAGGGTTAGATGGAATACTGGGAAGAAATGCTTCCCTGTGAGGGTGGTGAGAGCCTGGTATGGGTTGCCCAGAGAAGCTGTGGCTGCCCCTGGATCCCTGGAAATGTCCAAGGCCAGGTTGGATGGGGCTTGGAGCAACCTGGGCTAGTGGAAGGTGTCCCTGCCATGGCAGGGGGTGGAATGAGATGAGCTTTAAGGTCTTTCCCAACTCAAATCAGTCTGTGATTCCATGATCAAGCATCAGGCAATAAAGCTGTTGTTAATCTGGCTATACAATACACTGCATTAGTCCTGTACTCACCAGCTTGTTCCTGATGTCCATGTCACACAGAGCCTCGGCCAGGATGGAACACGCTTCCTTCACTCCCCAGTGCGCGGCAGCATGGAGGGGAGTCCAGCCATCGTTGTCCTGGACATTCAGATTAAACCCAGCCTGGATCAGAAGCCTGGGAAAAGAAGCAGTACTGCTCTCAGCTCATCCAAGAACGGCTTCATGACTGAGCAGAGTTCCCCCGTGAGGCACGGAGCAGCCCAGCTCACCAGCAGCAGCTTCTGTACTTTATTCCCCCAAGAAACACCTCACTCCATGTGCTCCAAACTGTGGTGGAAGAGGGCAGTAAATGAAAAGTGACTTTGATGTAAAATCTGCTGGAACATGTCAAATTGATGTTTCCTTTCAGAATGCCATAAATTTGGAGAACACCTTAGTTTCTCATCTTGCATTGGTGACCCAGCCTGAACTGTTGCTCGAGTGGAGGAGACAGCCTGGCCTGGCTCAGGCACTGAGTACACAAACAGCATCTCTGCAACTGCATCCCCACAACAGGGAGCCAAGCACAGCACCTGCCATGAGAGGGAAGTTTGGGAAATGGAGCTGGGGCTTGGTTCTACCAGAACACAAGGCCACAGTGTGAGATGGTCCATAAGGAGACCAGCAGGACTGCCAGGTAAGCACCAGTGACATTACTGTGATTGACAGGGGTGAAATTCATATGTTAAATAATCCACATTTGGGTTAAACAACCCAAAATGCATATTTTCACACTTGCATTGTTCAAGTAAATCTTTCCCAAGTGAAGCTGCCTGGGAACTCCCAGGCACTCACTGCTGTGCCCCTTCCAGCCCTCCCATCTCCATCAGACCAGAGTGCTGGTGTTTCACAGCATCTGGAGCTCAAATATTTAACACCAAAACAAACACAAGAGGGTCAGTGTAGTCTGAGGCTCCAGAGCCATGTGCACACCTCTGTGGCAGTGATCAGGTGAGAGCACTGAGCAGCATGTGCATCAAAACTATTATCCAAGTTCCTTAAATACTGAAGATCATCCCAGGGGAATTCTGCAAATCTGGTAAAACTGCTACTGAAAATTTCCATCACGGGAATTTCCACCATCCAGAGCCACCTTTGCGCAGCATGAACGACATCCAGCATGACCCCAGAATGGCATCAACAGCTTGGAAACTCCTGTAGCTTTACATCGATGTGCCACTGTGCTAAATAAAACATAGTGACAGTAGAGGAGCTGTGGGCTTCTCTGTGAAAGAAATTTTAAATTAGGTGCTGACTTTCTGTTGGTTTTCCAGCTGGCAGAAGGGAGGAATAGAGCTGCTAAGAGTCTCAAGGTCACAGACAAATTCCATGTCCCATTTAGAGTGAGCTGGATCCTGGGTGTCAGCCCCTTTGGTTTAAGCCACTGAAGATTTTTATTTGAACTTACAGCGTGGCCATAATATACACAAGAGAGAAACAATGTCAGTCTGCCCTGAGATCTGTTTATCAGTACCACAATTAATGCCAAGGAGTTGTTGTTCAGAGCAAAGTGACCCTGCACACACAGTGAACTTCATCAAGGAGCACTGCACACACAACCCTCCTCTGACAGTCCACGGGACCAACACCTCAAATGCAGGAGATATTACATTTCTATTCACATGAGCTGTGTTAGATTCCTGTTCTCAGGCATGGTACAGGCACAGACAGCTCATAACTCAATTATATGCTCTAATGACTGAATACAAGTTAGAAACATGGAGAATAATAAAATTGCTTGAGATGAAACAGCTCTTATGCATGTCACTTAAAATTATGAAATTGAGAATCAAGACAGATGAACACTTCCAGAACAGATTCTAATGTGGACAATAGAGTAACCTTGGAAAGACTATTTACAAGCACATGTAGTGACAAAACAAGGGAGAATGGCTTCCCACTGACAGAGGGCAGGGTTAGATTACATATTAGGTAAAAATTCTTCCCTGTGAGGATGGTGAGGCCCTGGTACAGAGAAGCTGTGGCTGCCCCACCCCTGGAAGTGTCCAAGGCCAGGTTGGACAGGGTTTGGAGCAACCCAGGATAGTGGAAGGTGTCCCTGCCCATGGCAGGGAATGGAATGAAACGAGCTTTAAGGTTCCTTCCAACCCAACCATTCTGGGATTCTATGACTCCACGTTTATGGCAGTTCCACCCACAAAGAGCAGAGAAGAAAGCTCTATTTTGGAAACCTTAATGTGACCTTACCTGTAAAAATATTAATGCTTTATTGCCAGGAAACCCTAAATTGGGCAAGCTGTTCATAATAGTCTTGTTAGTGGCAGGGCAGCAGAACTGTCAGGTGCTGAAATACCTCTGTCCCTGCAGGAGCAGCAGCACTAAGAGGCAGAGGACAGTGAGACAGAGGTGGACCCTGGGTTTTCCCATTAGACTGGTCACGTAAACTTTTGGGGTGTTTGTGACTGTCATGCATTGTGTGTTGTCACTTTGTAGGCCAAAATTATACTTTTATCCCCTAATACTGTTTAACTTGCTAGTCCTAAAACTATTACTCTAATAGTGAAAATGAGACCTCCTATGCCTTGCTCTTTGAAAAGCTTTCCTCACTTCAAAGGCCTGGAGGAATGAACTCCAGTCCCTGTGTATTTCTGTGTGAACCACTGTGGCTGGGCACATAAAACCACAGAGCCTTTTGAGAAACAGCAGCCTGAAAATCTCAGTATGGAACAAATTTCTCTCAACTGTAAAGCCAGATGTGTTCTTTACAAAAACCAGCCCTAATTCAACATATCAGCCCTGGGGAGGAGCTCCTACCTCATGACTTCAGAATAGCCCTTGGCTGCAGCAACATGAAGGGCTGTGGCTCCTGTCCGAGGCTGCTTTACATCCTCGATTCTCCCACTGTTCAGCCACTGCCGGGCATCCTGGAGCATTTGCTGCTCCTCTTCTTTCCTTGACAGGTCTAGGTCTACACCTAAGAGGGTGAAGCACAGAAGAAGAGATGAACAAGGGAAAGCTCTTGAGCACTTGTTAAACTTACCCCATGCTTCATTTGCTGTACAATATTAGTAAACTATCTGTAATCTTCCACAAAACAATCAGCAAAAGCACCTTCTATGAGCTGGGAGAGCTCCTGTGTCATTGACAGAGACTTCAGAAACAGTCTGACTTAAAAAATCTGAAAGTTGGGCCAGCGGTTGCAACCCACCCCAAGGAACTGCAAGCTTAGAAGTGCACTAAGGGTGGAAGGATTAAATTCTAGATATGCCAGATTGAAACAACATTCTACATATACCTATGTGTCCCAGACTGAAACAAAAAAGTCATGAACAGCATCTTAACCAACTGAATTGCACTGTAATGAGAGTGTAATCTACAGTGAAGGTCTAAAGACTTGATTCTTAGGCATCTCCTGCAAGAGCAATGTCAGCCCAGCTCTGTGCACACTCAAAATTCAGGACAACCTGCAAGTGACACAGAGTGATCTGTACTGCTCCAGAGCCATTCCTGCCAGGCACACTGAGAGTTATCCCACTGAGCAGCAAACCCCCTGATTCTGACAAAACACAGCCCTAAATCATTTGGGGATGAGAAGGCCAAAAAAAAATCTACTCTGGTGTCTGTCACTGCTTTAGTTGAAGTCAGATCAGGTAAGTTCATCAATACACACATCTGGAATAGCAGACACATGGACTGTGAGGCTCTGTGACAACAAGAGGGACGAGTCTCCCACTTTAGGAAATGACTGCTATGGTGTAGAAAGGCAGGTGGATGATTGGAGAGGCAAGTGGGTCTGGGTGACAGACTGTCAATTCTCACTAAACCAACAAGAGGCAAAACAAACGTAGACTTGTTTTCCTAAGTGAAGTTTTCACAGTAATGAGGCCATGGAAGGTTGATGTATCAATCACAAGTATGATACAGCTCCACACAAGATTAATCAGCTCAGAGCTTGCTGACTCAAAACAAAATACAAAGGAGAAGATGACAAATCTCAAAAATCAAGAAGGGTGTTGAAGAGCAAGTGTCCCTAGAGATTAATTCTTTCAGTATGAGGATGGCATGATTCCAAATTAAATTATGAGGCATTAGGCTTAAAACGGCACCAAAGAAAACACTTGGAGTCTAACCTGTGAGACCCACTGCTGCAGGATGTTGCAAAGATCAGAAACACAACTGTCTGCAGAACAAGGATCTGACAAGTTTGTAATTATAATGCTGGACATGCTGGATCTCCCAAGGAGCACTGCACAAGCTCATGAAACAGAAAATCACGGAGGATTCATGAGGACACAGAAAGCCCATCTCAGGAATTCCTGGAGGCACAGTGGCTGGAGACTGGGAAAATGTCTGTGTCTTTACATGCTTGTGCTGTTGTTCCAGTTTGCAGCAGGCATCTGTTTCCAGTCACTGCTGAGGACAGGCCACTGTGCAGGACAAAGCTTATTTAAAGTTCAACCCCATTTCCTCCAGCAGTTATGAGCCTTTAAACTGTGTTGATAGGAAGCTTCTCAGTGGAGACAGATGGTTGTTTCAGGGCATCTTAGCAGGATGCAGCTAATGTGGTGAAGCAATGCAAGCAGAATCCCAAAAAGTGTCAGGCAAAATACCTGCAGCTGAGGCAGGATCGTTGCCTTGATGTCCTGTAAGGTTCAAGACCATCTAAGGATGCTGAAGGTGCACAAGTCCATGGGACCTGATGAGATGCATCCAAGGATCCCAAGAGAGATGGCAACAGAAGTGCCTAAGTCACTCTCCATCATATTTGAGAAGTTGTGTCAGTACGGTGAAGTTCCCACAGACTGGAAAAAGAGAAATATAATCCTCATTTTTAAACAGGGAAAAGAAGACCTGGGGCACTACAGCTAAATCAGTCTCTCCTCTATGCCCAGCAAGATCATGAAGCAGATCCTCCTAGAAACTATGCTAAGGCAGATGCAAAATAAGGAGGTGATTGGTGACAACCAACCTGTCTTCTCTGAGGGGCAAATTGTGCCTGACACGACCCTGTCTGACAGGGTGACAGCGCTGGTGGATGAGGAGTGACACACTATCCACCTGGACTGGTGCACAGCATGTGACACTGTCCCACACGACACTTATCTCTAAACTGGAGAGATATGGATTTGGTGGATGGAGTACTCAGTGGATGAGGAACTGGCTGGATGGTGACACTCAGAGTTGTGGCCCACGGCTCAATGCCCACGTGGTGCCCAGTGCTGAGTGGCGTCCTCAGGTGTGGGGATTGGTGCAGTTTAACCTTTGCTGGTGTCATGGACAGTAGGACTGATGCACCCTCACCAAAGTGCTGATGGCACTGAGCTCTGTGGTGGGGTCACACGCCACAGGGAAGGGATGGGACACCCAAAGGGACCTGGACAGGCAGGAGAGGTGGGACCATGAGAACCTCATGATGTTCAATGAGATCAAGCACAAGATCCTGCCCCCGAGTTGGAGCAACTCCAGGCACAAATCCAGGCTAGGAGACGAATGGATTGAGAGCAGCCCTGGAGAGAAGGACCTGGGGGTGCTGGGGAATGAGAAGCTCAACACACCCGGTTGTGTGCAGTGACACCCAGTGTGCTGGGCTGAACCCACAGGCTCCGGAGAGCTGGGAGTGTTCACCTGGAGAAGAGAAGGCTTCAGGGAGACCCCAGAACCCCTTCCAGTGCCTAAAGGGCCTCCAGGAGAGCTGGACAGGGACTCTGGACAAGGGATGGAGTGACAGGACAAGGAGGAATGGCTTCCCACTGCCAGAGGGCAGGTTTAGATGGGATATTGGGAAGAAATCCTTCCCTGTGAGGGTGGTGAGGCCCTGGCACAGGTTGTCCAGAGAAGCTGTGGCTGCCCCATCCCTGGAAGTGTCCAAGGCCCCTTGTCTATGGCAGGGGGTGAAATGAGATGGTCTTTAAGGTCCCTTCCAACCAAAATCATTCTCTGATTCTATGTACAGCTCTTGATACCCACTTTAAAGACCCAAGTTACACTGAGGTAAAGAAAGGATCTCTGTCTTTCTGGGCATTCAATAAAGCCTGAATGCCAACAGGAAAAAGGCATGGCTTGGATAGCCCAGTAAAACAAAGGCTGACTGTAGACACAAATCTTTTTTTTTTTAAACACATGAGCAGAGTAAATATAAGGGAGAAGAGCTATTTAACCTTATTTTAAAGGGGATGGTAAAGGGGAATAAAATAAGAATAACCTTGTCACAAATATCCCTGGACTAAAAAGTGAAAAGTTTTTGTTTAGAAGGAACATGATCCTGCATCAATTTTCCAAGAGGAGCACTACAGTAAATAACAACCAGCTCTCAGATGAACAGCTACAAACTCACCTGTGGAACAGTAACACGGGTGACAAAGTACCACGGGACTGATCTCTTCCCTAACTATACCTGAAAGGAGCTTCAAAAATAAAGTAACCACCATATGTCAGAATATATTTGACAGAGGACTGGATTCAATCCAGCATGCAAACAACCCCCCCTTCAACCTGCAGGCATAAAATAATCCACACTGAAAATAATCTTTGGGGATCTCTAGCCCAAATCCCTGCTCAAAGGAGGGTAACTTCAAACCCAGATCAAATAGCTCAGAGCTGAATGCAGCTGAGCTTTGATTACATCCAATGATGGGAGTTCCAGAAATTCCTTGGTTCCCTGTTCCATCACTGCATCCTTCAAAAACATTCTTGATGAACTTCATAGACAGGATTTAAACTTCTCACCCATGTGTACATACATTTAATGACTCACAGATGAATTCCATGGGTATGAAGAAAATGTCACACTAATAAAGCATTTCTTAATTATAACATCAGCTACACAGTCCAAGATGATTCTTCTACTGGGAATGTTTGTGCAGGGACAGTCTGGAGAGCAACCCCTCAGCCAGGCACACCTGATGAGAAAGGGAGCATGGCAGATGGGCTGCAGAACTCTGGGGAAGGATCAGAATAAAGCAGGTCACTCCAGGCCTGGAATACTCACATCCTGTTTCCTCCTCTTGGCAGTGCTGTAAATCTCACCTCTGTTTTATCAAGTCTTAGTGAAACGAGACCTTTTAATGATACCAGAGGTCAGAATTAAATCTCACTTTAAAAGCAAACAGATCTAATGATTCAGATTTCAGTACTGTGGTGTCTTGCCTTGAAGAATCCCAAGGACAGAGACCACACACTACAAACCTCCTGCATCTGCACCACTGTCCTGACAGCAAAATAAAATCTGTCTGCTGTCTCCTGAGCCAGATTTTAGATCTTTTCACTTACAGACAGCAAGCCAGCAGAGTTCTCTTATGGACATTTTCAGGCTCTAACTCTCCCATATTCAATCCCACACCTGATTTACCTTGCTTCTTTACTTGTTCCAGAAGCAGGTCCTTCATGGCTGCTTCCTCTGCGATGTCAGACGGGACCTCCCCTTCGCTGTTCACAGCAGCCACGTTGGCTCCATGGCTAATCAAGTACCTACATCAATGAGACCCAGACCAGCACATCAGACCTTCTCTGAAGGCTTCAGAGCAGCCTACACAGTACAGCAGGTAGCCCGACAACATACTTGCATTCTCATTCAAGTTCAATCACCAAATGAGTACTGTATTCTTAGCCAATTTCTAGACTAAAAATGTTCACTGTTAATGCAAGGTCCCTGCTTGGGGGTTCATAGTTTTCTTTTCTCTATAGTTATTTAAATACCCCAGGTTCTTGCACTAATCTGGTTGATTATCCCCTAAAAAGAAAAAAAATTTAAAAAAGGGCAAGCCAAGCTATCATCAATTTTTAAATTTGTCTTCTATACCAAAGAGATATACAAATGTACATACAGTATCCATCACCTGTGTACCTGCTCTGATGAGAAAGGCACAGGAAGTGTTATAAATACCCGGAATAGCCCGAAACTCACTCACTCTGCTATGTTCAGATAGCCACAGGATGCCACTGCATGGAGAGGGGTCCAGCCCTCGTTGTCTTGCTGGTTCACATTGGCTCCATTTTCTACCAGAAACTTCACCATGTCCAGGTTTTCATCAATACAGGCCTGAGGGAGGAGAGAAAGGGAACATCGAGGGAGGAGGGGAGGTGAACATGCAGGGAGGGAAGGATTGAAGAGAAAGGGAAGGGGGAAAAAACCAAGGTGTTGGTATGAAATCAAGCATACAACCCCCACCTGCAGTTTATTGGCAGCAGGTAATTCCTGGGCTGAACTATCCACACTGTGGGCAAGTACACCTTAAAGCTTAGGGTAGCACCAATTTGTGAACTGAAACAAATCAATTTCAGAACTTTCAAAAAGTAATTGTAACTCAGATTCCCCAGGTGGACAACTTCTGAATTTGTTCAAGCTTTACCTCTCACCATTGAATTGTTTCCTTCCTCGCTCCCCCACTGTTACCTCACCACAGCTGGGATGCTGAAATGATGGATCTCTATTAGTTTTAGGTATGGCATCAAATCCCTCTAAGCAAGGCAAGCCGTGTACTCATTTAGATTATGTTGTTCCTCAAAATGTCAATGAAAAGAAGTCATAATAGCGAACAAAAGGAGGCCTCACTAGCAGGACCTGAAGAAGCCTGACCAAAGCAGCCCACCTGTGTACAGGTCACCTTTTACCAGGGCAAAAGCAAGGTTTTAGAGAACTTAATAACTTCTTCATTCAGCAGTATCTCTGTTTTCCTGAGCATAACACAGTCCAACTTTCCCTGTTTGCTCTACAGTCCTGTGAGCTGCTGAAGAGAACCACAGCCCTTGATGAGCCGCTGTAGTCATTCCTGAGCCTGCTTTGAACTTGTCAGAAGAAAACCCAGCTTGATTTTCAAGTCTCAGCAGTTCTGTTGGGTGGAATTCCTCCTTCCTCAAATTCCTGGCTCTAGCACGTTCTGTGTTGCACTTACAGCTCACTGGAAGCTACTATTTAAGGATGAGCTGGCAATTTAATCCATACCTCCGAATGCGTTTGCCTCCGCTGGGAAGCACTGGGCACGACCAGGAGGGGCAAGGACTGGCTTTTACTGCGTGTCCATCCACAGGCAGAAACCCAGTTCCTCATTACTAGAGAGGGAAACAGTCAGAATTGCTCCAGAATCTCCGCACTCGATCCCTCTGCACAGCTCAGTGTGGGCACATCTATCCCTTATGGCAGTCAGGTGATTCCCAGATGATCTGTCTCTAAAGAGCAGCACTGACTATCCACTCCTGTCCCAGCAAGGAATGAAAACGAGGAATCCTCTCTAACCAACATCCCCATACACACCAAAAAGAGACAATCCTGTATTATCTAACATGTTCATCTCTGCTGCACTGCCCATGTCAAAGGAGAGGCACATCCTGCACCAGGACATCCAGCTCTTTCTACTTCTACTGCAAGTAGAGTTGGACTTGATGATTCTTGTAGGACTTTTCTAACTCAGGATACTCCATAACTCCAAGTACAATCCCAAACTAGCTGCTTAGGCTGCAAACATGAGTTGTTCCTCATTTGGCTGGTTCACAAAGAGCCATGCACAAGCCTAGCTTTGAAATCTCCGAGGAGGCACATTCTGAATTAACTAACTCCTAGTGCAGGTACTGGGCAAACATGAGACAACACAGGGGACACATGTCCCAGGAGCAGGCTCAATCCCAACTGGAGCCTATGCTGAAGGGTCAGTGTGTTTCCTGGCCCTGTTTTAGATTGGTTTACCTGAACCTTGGTCAGGAAAGCACAAGCACAACTCTAGAAGTCATTTACTTCAGGAGCTGCTCCAAATCCAGAATGGCTGAGCCTGACCTGGGCAGGCTCCATTCACCCTGCTCGGTCCATCAACACTGTCCCACCCTCAAGCACAAAACAGTTTTGTCCTGCAAACCCAGCTCTGAGGGGCTTTCCTTAGATTATTTCAGGCAGTAGAACTAGGGAAAAAAAATAAAATCCCACCGAAAATCTTGGGGACTGAAAAGCATCACCCTGAGGCTGGAGGAGCTCTGGGTCAAAGCACGATGGGGTAAGACATGGTTAGGTCTGAGCAATGTGGATGCAAACCAGGTTCTACCACCAGGAGCAAGGAGTTGGTCTTCTTTTATTTAGATCCCCTGGTCTGACCCCCTGCTCAAAACAGGGCTAAATCTGTGTGAGATCAAGTTGCCCAGGCCTGCTCCAGCCAGTTTTTACTGTCTGCTGGGATGGAGACGCCAGGCCTGGTCTGGTCCCTGCCCCAGTGCTTTACCCTCCTCTCTGTGGGTAATTTTTCTAATCTAGATTTTTTTCTGGCTGCAACTAGTTCCTCCTGCTCCAGCAGCACAAATTTAGCCTCCAAGTGTCAGCAGGTGATGAGGGCAGGAAACACATGCCCAATATTCCTACTGTACAGGGGAACTAATATGCCCAGTATGCACACAGTTAAGTTTAAGACACACTCTAAGAAGGATAAACTCACGATTTCCATAATCCTGCCAACTGCACAAACCAAACTGTCAGTGTCTTATGTCTGTACCAACACACTGAAACGCAGCAAGAAGGTGAAGGATGTGAGGCACACAGAGGTGGACATGGACACACAGAGGAACCCAGTAATCCCTTCTCAGTTCAAGGAGCAATTCTTTGGGAATTCAAGTCTGAGCCTGCAAAACTCACAGCTCATCTCTTTTTATTGCCACCCATATTTATTGTGATATACTTTGAGTTTCCCCCAACACACCTCATATAAATTACACTTCCTGATGAGTTATTTACATTTTGACCCGGGAACACAACCAGTACCAATCACTTCTTAAATAAAGCTGACTTTATCTAAAAGCATACTGCTCCGAGAATAGCCAAGAAAAGTTCGCCCACGCAGTGGTTTCTTTTGGGTACAATCCCTCCTGGCTGCCCACAGAACCAGAGCCTCATTACAGAGGAATTTTATCAGCAGGGTTCTGCCAAAGCAGAGAAGTGAACGGTTCCTGCTCTGCTGGGTTTGTTTAAGTGTTACCTGCAGCTTGAGTGGGAATCTAAATTTAGACTGAAGAATGTCTCTATAGCATGAGCTTTGTATGTATTTCATAGAGAATTATATTTACACTGTTCATCAAACACACCTACTTCATCTGCATAGCCTGGGAATCAGCCAAGGGAAAAGCCGGGTTCTCGCTCAAGTCACTGCACTCTAAAGTGAAATATCTGTTTAAATGCATAAACAAGCCCCTCTCACTCTTTTAAATTTCTGCCTGTTGTTGCCTCACTGTTCTGCTGGTCCCATCCCGCGTGGTTCCAATGGAATGCATGCTCGAACCAGCAGGGATAATGGGATCAACCCCCACCTGTTCCCACACCGAAATCTGCAGTAATTCGACTCTCCTGGCTCCTGCAGGGAGAAAATGATGACAAAGTGCCAGGGCTCCGTGGGTGCTGACAGCAGCAGGCACTTGCTCGCTCCCCAAGGGAGCCATGGCCATTCCATGCCTGCTGCCTGCATTTACCACCAGGAGAAAGCCAAGTGCAAAGGGGGAGTAAGGCCTTAATGGGGCAGCAACATATTCTTTAAGATCTAAGAAAAATAACCCTCACTCCACCCTTGTACAGCTCATGAAAAGGGGCTCTTCAAGGAATGTGGTCAAGGAAAAGCTGCTGCTCAAGGAGTGTGATCCAGCCAGGGGATGCTGCTTGGCAAATACTGATTTTAGTGTGAGCTCATAGGAATAGAACTGAGCTCAGGGCAGAGTAACACAAACAGTTTCCTAAGTGACAGGCACAATTCCTTGCCTGCCTCAAATACCAAAATGTACGAACTTTTTGCATTGTTGTATCATTACATACTACTAATTACACTGAGAGTTGAAAAAGTGAGGGGGAAAAGGAGTTTCCAAACATGACATTTGATAAACAGAGGTACTGAGTAACCCCTGCTCAGCTCTGAAAAATCTCATTGTGGTCTTACGTAAGAAACCATCAGGCAAAGAATTATTTACATCACTTCTTAGTCAGACACCCAAAAGAACACACTGCTTGCATCTTAATATACTATGACATATTTAACATATCTCAGAGCGAAAATTATGAGGCCAACAACATGGATAATGAATTGGTAATTTCTACAGATCTGAACGTTAAAAAGCCTTTATAAAGGTTATAACAGATTAAATGGCAGCTTTTAGGAGTTTCAGCGTATTTCTGTGTGTCTTTTTAAGGTATCAACTGAATAAGACTAATATTTTACCAGGGATTTCATACTTGCACACACAGTAATGGTATTAATAGTTTCATACATGACATAATTTTACCAAGACACAAATTAAGGAACAGAAATTCTCTCTGTTTAAAAGTACTCAGGGCACACACTCGCCCACCTAAAATTTTTGAGAGCCCTGAGTGCTGATATCTCTCCACCAAATTTCTGCTGCATGTTTTCTTGTGCACATCTGCCAAAATAAAGCACTGTGAATGAACCACCCCATAAGAAAAACACTTTCATTGGGATTCAGGGGGCAAAGCTCCCCTTCACACTGAGCCAGTTCGGTTACCTGAGGTTACTGGGGGAAGGAGAAGAGGACAAAGAGGAAGTAAAAGGGTAGATATGTCCTCCTTTAAGTACTATTAATCCTCCAACCTTAAATTTAGGAGAGTGAATAAGTTTAGTAACCCGAGAGGATCTATTGCTATGCAGAGTTCTCCTCTCTTATTTGATACAGTGTTCCTTGGGAACAGGGTAAGAACCACGACTTCGGAGAACAGAGTCACAAAGCAGATTCCTGCTCTCCAGCCCCAAAGGGAGGGGTCAAAGTCAAAAAGAGTTGGTTCAAGAAGTAATGTTGCCATTTTGGTGGGTAGTTACTTCATGTGAGGAAACGCTCCCTCTCCTAAACCATCCTTGAAATCAGGTATAAAGAAAAATACAGGGATAGGCTTAATTCTTTCAGTTTTAGGTCCTGCTAACCCCCAGCTGCTTGGTTCACACGTAGGAGAGGCTAAAAGCAAGGTTAACTGCAGAGCACAGCAATTTTGTCTTTAAATTTATAATTCCTTTTTTATCTTCTCTCTCTGTACAAGCTCTAACATAACACCTTCAGGGCGATGTGACAGGG